TTAAAAAAATCAAGAGTCACAGAAAAGTTAACTGGCTTATTATTTACCAAATAAATGCTTAATAGAGACAAATTTGAAACATCTCCAGATCCAAACCAGGCAGGGATTTTATTTGATACACCTGCCTCCAAGGCTGTCCTTTCCAGACAATTATGTTTTATTGTTGCTATTCTAAATCCCATTTTGGAACTTGAATTTTTTTTCCTTCCTCACGTACCTATTATTGCTGAGCAATCTGTACCATCCAGAAATGCTCAACAGAAAGTGGAAAAACACAGAAACTTGGAAAGTATGAGTAGGTTAATGGCTAAGTAACAGCAGAAGTTCTCACAGGTGCTCAAAAGAGTGGAACGGGAGAACAAGGATCGATTTTCTTGCTTACAGTTACATTGACTTTTTCTTCACAATGAAGAACACAGAGTTTCAACTTTAAATCTGGGACTCTAAGAGGTTGTTAACTATATATTTACAACCTCCTGGTTTCATGAGTTTATATTTTAGCCCTGAAAATTTTCTGCGTCTTTGTGCTAACTATAGGAGGCTTGCATTTTTCTTGAGCTTACTGAGCACAAGAATGATGAATACTGTCGAGTAAGGAAAACCGAATTCCCTACACTTGTTCCAACTTTGACCTTGGAGAAGACAGAAAGTTTTCTCATTAGGTGTTGTTTATGATTCATATGTTCAGGTGAAGCAAATTAGTAAATCTGTCAGAGAAAAATTCATGTTTCTCAGGAGCATCCCATGAAATAATAGGAATATATACATGTCATATATTTGAAACTCTGTGTTTTTGTTTTTTGTGTTTTAAGCTTCAGTTTATGTGCCTGTTGATATGTGAGAGTCTTTCTTTTTGGAAGTCCAAACAGATTGAAAAACAAATTGTGAAATCACATGACACTCAGAAATCTTGCATCACTCTACCCCCTCCCCCCCACATTCCCCTCCCACTTGTCTCAAAAGATTTCCTAACAACTGAGAGCACCATCACTGTGAGGACACCGACATTTAAAAAGATGAAGAGGTGTTTTTTAGAGTTCCCCAAAGCATTTACTTTTACAAATCTTAAATGCAATGAGTTGACCACTGGAAATTAATATATGCTTGTGTTTTATTCCATTGCAAACACAACTGAAAAGAACACCAGTTTTGTGTTAAAACAGTATTAAGATGGCATTTTTTTAAAGCCAAGTGATTTGAGAGTTTTAGTTTGTTTGTTTGTTTTTAAAGATTTTATTTATTTGTTTTGAGAGAAAGAGAGCACACGGGCCAGGGGGAGGGGCAGTGGGAGAGGGAGAAGCAGACGCCCCGCTGAGCAGGGAGCCTGACTCTGAGGGCTTGATCCCAGGACCCTGAGATCATGACGGCAGATGCTTAACTGACTGAGCCACCCAGGTGCCCCTAGATGGCATTTATTTTGCGATCTCTTTCAGTATTTGAGTTGTAGGAAAGAAAGAAGAGTTAGAAGAACTGGTTCTAGTAATTTAAGAATCACAGTGAAGAAGTCATAATGTTCTCAATTCTGGTTGCCTTTCCCAGGACAGTGAGTAAGTCCATGCTCATGGTGCATAGATCCATAAGAGGCAGGTTCAGCAACAACAGCTTTTTTGATAGAGAGCCCGAGAGCTGGTGAATTTCAAAGTAGATTAGCTGTGTTATAGTCAGTCGATGAACCCCCAAAGAGAATGCTAGTGCACACTGAGTTTTGACATTTTATTCACCAGTTATCAATTATTAATATATTATTGGTCCCTGCCATCATAGCTATTATTGTTATTACTATTATTATCTGCTCTGCTCATTGTTACATTTCCACTACAGAAATGAGGACTTGGCACATAAAAGGCTATCAATAAGTATTTATTGAATGAATGGATGATTCCGTTAAGAGATAGGAATTACCACCTAAAGAAGAGTATTTTTTATACTTGTCTTACTATATAAAAACAGTACTCGATAATTAGCTATATTTGATTTATTTTCTTTCAGACCCTTCCTTGCTAAAACTTTACTTTTCTTCTATCTCTGCCACTGAGAGTCAGTGAAGTTAGACACTCAGCTTCAAGTTAATTTCCTCCTGTTTGTGGATGTCCTCCATGTATATGCCTTTCAGCCAGTGTAATCTTTCCAAGTTCTTGTTGACTGTAAGCGCTTGAAAGCTCTTTATTGTTGAAGGAATGAGAAGACTGACATCCATTGTGTCTCAGTTGGTGACAGAAATGTGTGACACTGAACAAGGCCTTTATCCTCTGTTTATCCATCTGGAAAATGAGAACAACAATACTCACTAGTCTGGTATGGAGGTATGGCCAAGGACTTTGTGATCCACACAGGGAAGGTGATATTTTAGTTGCTACATATTACAGATGTTTCCCTTTGATTAATTGGGTGTTCAGGTACTGGAGCACTTTCAGAGATGTTAAGCAAAGAAAAAGAAGAGAAAGAGAAAACAAAAGCAGAGATTGGTTTACAGATTTAAAATAATGTTTCATGCTTCCTTAATACTTTAACTTTACATTTAATAATCTACAGTCAGAGATTAGAGATAATTTAGTACAGTGCTTTTTAACCAGGCTATGCCCACACTCCCTGTGGAAGCTTTGAGTCTACACATGCCTTGGGCCCACCTTATTTTCCCTTGATTAAGAACCAGGGTTCCAGACCAACCTCTTTTTTTATGAACGAGAACATTGAGGGTCAGCTGGTAAATGTAATATCAGGACTAAAATCCTCCTCTTCTGACTTCTAATGGGTTTTTATTTACGTACAATATGAGCTATCTAATCTGTTAGTTTAATATATATATAATTATTATTTTTTAAAGATTTTATTTATTTGACAGAGATCACAAGTAGGCAAAGGAACAGGCAGAGAGAGAGCCCAATGAGGACCCTGAGATCATGACCTGAGCCGAAGGTGGACTCTTAACCCACTGAGCCACCCAGGTGCCCCTAATTATTATTTTTTAACTCAGGGCTTGAACTCATGATCCTGAAAGCAAGGCCTGAGCTGAGATTGAGTCAGATGCTTAACCAACTGAGCCACTCAGGAGTATATTTTAAGTTAACTTTGTAGATACAACTTTGCAGTAATCCCTAGAAGTTTAATTACCTGTGTTACTTTACAGTTGATAGCTATTTTACCCTTTTAACATTTTTTTATCTATAAAGCCTTCTGAGATTCACCTTGTTAGAAATAAATTCAACCCCTTATAAGCTTTCAAAGCACATACAGCTTGTATTCGATCACTTATCGCTCAGTATGGTCCTGTATTAAAGAATTTAATGTGGAACTTTTTGTTTCCCTGCTTTGTGAGCTCTTGGAGATAGAAGTCAACATGCTCATTATCTTCAAGACATAAGAACAAATAAAAGTTTGTGCACCAGGCGATGTTCGAGGCCAGCGTTTCTCAAATTTTAGCAAGCATCAGAAATAGTTGGAGTGCTTATTAAAGTATTTATTGCTGTCCCTGCCAGCCCCACTTCTGATTAAGTGAGTCTGGGTGAGATGAAGAATTTCCATTTCAAGCAAGTTCCCAAATGATGCCACTCTTCTGCTGGGTTACTATTTGAGTATTTGCTGCTACTCCAGTATGTAGGTTTTTTTATTCTCGTTTTCACAGAAGTCACACAGTCAGTGAGAGAGAAAAGACTGGAGCCTCATCTCTTGATGCCTAGTATTGTGGTCTTTCCTTTACACACCCTTCTCCTTATCTTGGAATTCCTTGTATGCATCAGAAGAAATGCCTGCAGAAAGGGTACCTGACCATGAAGCAAGCTACTCTTCTTCTCAGGGCTGTGAATTCAAGCCTCACCTTGGCTGTAGAGATTACTTTAAAAAAAAAAAAGAAATGCATGCAAGAGATAATTGCTATTAGAATGGAGATAAACCGCCCAGGTTCAGTTATCATCTTGAGCAAATTAATTTACCCTTCTGTGTGTGTCAGTTTTCTCATCTGTAAATTGGGAATTAGCAATATTTACCTGTAGTGCACATTATAGTTGACTCTCCTATATTCGATCTGTTCTTTTTTCACTATGTAGTAGGCATTGTGGTGCAGAGAATTGCCCCAGCACCAGGAGTGAATTATAATTCATCTAAATCAATCAAGATAATTATAATTCTCTGGATCACAAGATGAGTTAATCATACCATAGTACTCCCCTCCACCCCCAACTCTACCCCCAGTAGCTACTGTTTAAGAGATAAGCATCAGACTAAAGGTGGATCATAAGGAGAAGACAATTTTTTCATTTTTTTCATTGTTGGTGGAGTACTCTTTCACCTTTGCTAGATCTCAGTAAGAAGCATGTTTTCTGCTAATGGCCATGCTATAGCGGAAAATTGGTTAGGAAACCAGCGCTGGTTGTAAGGGCAGCTATAGGACATAGGAACCTGGTGACAGTATGAAGCCACTAGATTTGTCAACCAGTTCAGAAGCGGCTTTCTGTCTAGACTACCAGTTATGTGAGCCAGCAAGTGCCTGTATTGTTTTAGTCAGTTGGAGATATTTTTCCCCTGTAACTTAGAGTCAAACACCCTAGCTGATAACCTATCTCAAAGGATTCCTGTAAGAATTAAATGACATAATGCATGAAAAGGGCTTGGCATTAATTAGGATGTAACAGGTATGAATTAAATATCCTTATCAGGGAAGTGACTAGATCCAAGTAAAAAAATATATATACATATTGATGTTACATATTATTGGTTTCCTTTCAAATTCTTCTTTATCAAAAGCACAAGTGGCCTTAAATGCCCTTGTCATCTCCCTACCAAAAGCTTCCTTGGAGGTGTTTTCACTAGCAGGATTAGAGAAGCCAAAATAACCAGGTGAGTATTTTTGACCATGATAGAGAACTTGGCTGTAACAGGACAAGATTATTCTGAGATTTATAGAATCACAGAACAACAGGTTAATTTTAGTAAAGAGATTGACAAAATGAAGGGATGGATAGGTATTGCTATGTCTAATCATAGCTGAAAAAAACCTGCTTGGCGTGAATTGCCGCCAGTCTCCTACAGAGATGGATCGCATCCAAACGTGGTGCTCACATTACGTGTAGTGGACGTTTGTTCCTTTGGCTGTCCAGCATGCCACCCTTTCTTTTAGGGCACTGTCCTTCCACTACATCAGACATGTGATTCCTTTGGGGCTGCCAAATAACATGTAGTTTCCGTTATTACTAGGCCAAAATAAAATTATGGTTTTTTAATAATTACATTTATAGTCATTGACCCACCCCAAGCATATTAAAATTCACATTAAAAAAATATTTGAGAGAGAGAGAACAGCAGAGGGAGAGGGAAAAGCAGGCTCCCCACAGAGCAGGGAGCCCTGTCTGCAACTCCATCCCAGGGCCCTGGAATCATGACCTGAGCCAAAGGCCGATGCTTAACCGACTGAGCCACCCAGGCGCGCCTAAATTCAAGTTTTAAAAGGAAGCAAGAAAGGATAAGTAGAGGACACATAACCTTTGGTCAATAGATGATGCTATTATATCATAATTCTAGGATCTGGAATACCCTGCCAGTGTATTAGACCAAAAAAAAAAAAAAAAATCGTAAGAATTTGCTTGGGAGAGAGGGAGTAGATCCATTTCAAAAAAGTATGAATTTGAGGGTACATTTTAGAGGGTACATTTTAGAGAGGACCTTGCAAGTCATCAGAACATGCCCCAGACTCGTGTGTGGTGTGTGTGTGTGTTTGTGTGTGTGTGTGTGAGTCTTGGTAGTGATTTTGTGTCATTGCCTCATTGTTGGCACTTTGTCAGTACTCAAGAAAACCAGATTGAAAATTTGGAATCTGTGCTTCAGTGGATTGAAACTGACCTCTAGTCACTAAGGAAAAATCAAAACAAAACACACAAGAATTTAGAGAGGATATTTTTCTGCCAACAAATAATTTTTCCTTGATGTTATTTCTTAGTTGGGCCAATATTTCAATGGAAAAAATAGATAGATTGGTCAAGAGTTCAGTATAATTTTTGTGACATTTGACCTTAAGTGACATAATGAAATTAATGACAGAAAATAGTATTCTTTCATATGGATGCATGTGTGACTATTGGTCTCACATAGAGTATTTGAGGAAGAAGCAGAAAGGATCATCTGATGGCATTTTGTTTTATTTGAAATGTTAACTCTTAAGCTAATTTATTTATTCAATTAATATTTTTGCCAGGCACTGTTATAACCACTTGGGATATGTCAATGAACAGACCAAAAACTGTAACAAAACTGTACATGGAGTTGAGGGTTTAAAATTTTTTTTTTAAGATTTTATTTATTTATTTGACAGACAGAGATCACAAGCAGGCAGAGAGGCAGGCAGAGAGAGAGGGGGAAGCAGGTTCCCTGCTGAGCAGAGAGCCCAATGCGGGGCTCAATCCCAGGACGCTGAGATCATGACCTGAGCCGAAGGCAGAGGCTTTAACCCACTGAGCCACCCAGGTGCCCCGAGGGTTTAAAATTTTGTTGTGCTTCTGAGACCTGTGAGCTAATTTATTTGTTTGCTGAAATTGTTATGATTCTTGGCTAAATAGCTTTTTATAATGCCTTGTTTTTGAAAACTTCAGTTAGGGTCTAACTTCCCATTCTTTGTTGAGCCAAATGATAGAACGGCAGGGGTGGTGGGGGGAGGGGGTTGGGAAGCTCAGAAGAGGTTAAACAGGGGCAGACTCTGGGGTAATTTGGAGGAAACAGAAGGAAAGTATCATCAGAGTAAGGAAGAAGCTACGAGAAGGGAGTTGTTGGATTTCTATACAAAGGGGAACTCGGAGGGAAACTGGTCAAGGTTTGAATGATGAATTATCTTTGTGGTGTGAGGTACCTTTTTTTTTTTTTTTTTTAAGATTTAGAGAGAGGAGGGAGAGAGAAAACAAGCAAGGTGAGTGGCAAATAGAAGGAGAGGGAGACCCAGACTCCTACAGAGCAGGAAGAGCCCCTGTGGGACTCAGTCTCAGCACCCCGGTATCATAACCTGAGCCAAAGGCAGTTGCTTAACCACCTGAGCCACCCAGAAACTCTGGAGTGACTGGGGTGATTCTAATGCCTTAGCAGCCTGCAATAACGAACCAAAACCTAAGCCTCTAATGCCTCAAGGTTAAGAAATTGAAACAAAGAACAACCAATCATAGGCTTTCCCCAAACAAGGCAAACACTTAAACTATGGACAATCAAATAGTTCTCTTGCTTTTCCGCCTCTTTTCTAGAAAAGTCTTTCTCTTAGCTCTTGTCCGTAGAGTCCTCCTGACCACTTCTGGTCTGGCCCTGGCCAATTTGATGCAATTTGTGCTCAAATAAACTCCTAAAATTTGTAGTATGCCTCTATCTTATAATGCTCGTTATATTTGGGTTACATACCATTTGTTAAAACATTCAACATTATATAATTTTAAATTTGGGGAAGAAATATTAGTCTCATAAATTAGACATAAGAAAGTAACCCAAACAGTCTCTTCCTGACAGGGAATTTCAACTGGAGGTCAATTTAAAATTTTTACAATGTACAAGGAGAGCATGGATTTGGAAAGGCTGTGACACCAAACCATAGAATTCCATCATTAAACATAAAGCCACTGGTCAGACCCTGGAAACACTTTTGGCCTTAAACATAAAGGCTCTGGTCAGACCCAGGAAACACTGCTGGCCTTATGACATATCACCTAAGTAATAGTAGTCGAAGTAGTAATAGTAATGAGATTAAGAGAAGTTGTAGTAGTGATAGCTTCTATTTATAAGGAGCCTCCTATGTGCCAAGGACCATTCTAGACATTGTCTCATTGAATTTTTTTTTTCTTTTAAGTAGGCTCTACGTTCATCATGGCGTCCAAGGTGGGGCTGGAACTTACGACCCTGAGATCGACACCTGAGCCATGATCAGAAGTCACATGCACCACCCAGTTGCCCCTTGTTTCATTGATTTCTCACGACTCTTCTATGAGGTGGGTAAATTACTTGCTCAGTGTTAGTCAGATTTGCAGTCATTTTTGACACACCTTTTGGGTATGGACTCCAGGGAAATAAAACAGTCTATCATTCAGGATTCTGGACTATTCTTTGGTGGACAGCAAAGAGCCTTTTACTCTCAGAGAGGGTTCTCAGGACTTCTGATGTTGACCTGCTATCAGAATAGGCCTCCTTGGTTCTAGAACTTTCCTGATGAAGAGCCAGTATGTATCCTGAAGCACTACTGACTTCCAGATGCACTGAGGGCCACAAACCTTTAGTCCATTTGGAATTGACACTATGAGAGAAAACAAATAGCTGGCTATTTTCATCTTCCCTTGAAAATACAATAAGAAATAATTGTGAGGTGACTTCTTTAATTCCCTCCCTTTCCTATCTCCTTCCATCTTTCCTCCCTTCTTTCTGTCTTTTTGTTTTTTGTTCTTGCTTTCACATATCTGATACTCAAACAAGTGTTGAGGGGCTCCTTTATGCCAGGCCAAGTGCTAGACGCTGGGGCAGCATGATTGTGGTCTAATGAGAAATACATATTTTGGCCTTCTTCCCTGGTTCCTGGCACAGAGCCCCTAAAACTAAAAATGTTGGAATTTCTTGAGTAATACTGGTGGCAGGAGCATCTTTTGTTATTCATAATAAGTCCCTTTCAACCATACTTGAGTTTATGGTAATGAGATGACTGTTGGAAAGAGGAGGCTGGTTGCCACAGGCTCCAATCAGGTGATTTAAGGGTTGGAACTTCCCTCCAGGGAGGAGAGAGACTGGAGAATGAGTTAATCACCAATGGTCAAGGATTTAGTCAATCATGTCTACACAGTGGAATCTCCATAAAAACCTTAAGTTATGGAATTCCAAGAGGGTCCACATCCATGATGCTAGAAGGGTGGCGTATCCAGGGAGGGGATGGGAGCAGCACGCCCCCGTCTACCCATAACTTTCTTTATGTATCTCTTCCATCTGGCTGTTGCTGAGTTCTAGCTTTTATTATAAACTGGTAAATGTCAATGGAGTAATTTTCTGAATTGTTTGAGCTCTTCTGGCTAATTTTCAAACCCAAGGAGGAAATGGTAGAAGAGTTCAGTTTATATGCAGTTGATCAGAAGTGCAGGTGACAACCTGGGTCTTAACTGTCGAGGTCTGAAGTGGAGTATTGTGGGACTGATCCCTTAAACTGTGAGTATGTGCTAATTCTGGCCAATGACTCAGAATTGAGTTAAATTGTAGGATAGTCAGTAACTGCTGAGAATTGGAGAATTCCTTGGTGTGGAGAAACCCACACATCTGGTGTCAGAAATGTCCTGTGGGCAAAGAGGAGACAAGTTTTCCTTTAGCTTTTTAATTGTGTAGAAGGCACAGTCTTTGCCCCTGGAGAGGAGAACTGAATTTCCATCCAGTGCAGATCATAAGCAGCATGAGGTCAGGAGCTGTATGTCTCGTTTGCCATGTATCCTCTACATTGACCAGGACATGGCAGTAAGCATGTGCTCAAAAAATACATTGCATGAATGAATACAAGTCTAGTATTGCCTCACTAATGAAAGGGTACACTTGAAACGTCATCTGGTTAATGGCACCCTACAGACTGCCCAAACTGCCCTCAAGAAAACCAGAAGCAGTGTGAACTTGGATCCTGAGAGTGGTCATCTGGAATACATACCTTACGAAAAAGTAAGGATATGCAGCTTGAGTAATGAGACACTCAGTTTGCAAATACCACATGTTCGTTTTCATGTTGCTAAAGACTCTTTGCTAGGAAACGAAACACTTGTAATTTAATATGTAATGTTCTCAGAGTCCGAGGCCAAACCACCTCAAGTCGTGAACACTTTGGCTCTGAAGAGCCTGTCAGGGTCAGGGCAGGGCAGTACTTGGCCTAATGCCCCTCCAGAATAAACCAAACAGCTACAGGAAGTGGTTTCCGTGATTCAGTAGGTGGCACACTTCCTTTTGAGTCAGAACTGAATCATGGCCGTGAGAGACAAAAAGGACCTACTTCTTTATCCCATACTTTTTTCCCTATTCCCAATAGTAAATTTATCACAGTCTGTCATATGACATTTCCTGTTTAGTTTAACGTGTTTCACCAGAAAAGAAAAAAAAATGCAAATCAACTACAAGGAGGCAAGAAGAGACTGGGAAACAAAGCAGATGGAAATGAATCCAAGCATCATTCTTTGACCGGAGGGCCATATTCTCCAAGGAGATTGAAAGAAAAGCCATAATCTGATTTCACTGGGGTCATCAAGGCCCCTAGTTCTCTCGACTCGAATCTGACCCATTTCCAGTGGAAGCAATTAGATCACACTTACATAAACCATGTTGCTTTAAATGGCGCTGCTCTCTTCTTCACTCGCTGACCCTGGCTTCCTCCCTGGCCTGTCTGCTGGAAGGCTCTGCTGGTGTTGTCCCAAGCATGGCCCTCGTTCAGCTGTGGGTGAAACGATCCTGTTCTGAATGTACTGAATGCTGCTGGCAATGCTGTAAATTGTTTTGAGGCTTAAGGAAAAACCCCCTGGATATCAGCAAGTCATAAAAACAGACTTATTTTCTCAGTGTGTCTTTTATTTTTCAATATTTATAGTTCTGGGAATGTAAACATTCTTATTCATATTTTCATCAGATAAACTTGGTATTATTGTATCTTTGTTGCTTCCTCCTACCCCAGTTCCTTCTGATTGGCTTCATGTCTCAAAACAAAGATTCAGAAACTCATGCTATATGTCCTGTTTATATCACTCTTGGAAGATTGATAATTGGACTGGAATAAAAATCTAACTGCCATGGGGGCAACCTGTGTGGCGCAGTTGGTTAAGCAACCCATTTGGTTTCGGCTCAGGTCGTGATCTCAGGGTTGTGAGATCAAGCCCTGCATTGGTCTCCACACTCCTTGCTCTGCTCAGAGTATATTTGGAATTCTCTCTCTCCCTCTACTCAGTTCATGTGTGCATGCACGCTCATTATGTCTCTAAAATAAATAAAATCTTAAAAAGAAACGATATTGCCATGTTAGTATTCTGCAGCTGCTTCTGTGAACTATTCCAGTTGTTTGAAGAACACAAGATTCAAAATCACATAGACCTGTGTTCAGATTCAAGCTCAACAAAAAATTGCACAGCTCTGTGACCTTAGGGAGGTCTCTTAACCTCTCTGAGCCGTAATTTCCTTAGTCCATAAAATGGGACTCTAGCATAAGAACAATATTACTGTGAGAACTAAATAAAGCTTTTACATAGTGCCGAGAACAGCTCCTAGCTCATATTTGGTGTTTTAAAATAAGCTAGTGCCCTTTCTCTTTATTTACAATACCTTTCCCTTGGGAGGTAAGAACAGCACTTGGACAGGACAGCTGCATGCGCACCCTGAGTCTTACCCTTCCCAAAGACGTCAGTCCCATCCAGCTCCTTTAGCACTTTCATCAACAGCACCTGTAGCACATGTGGTATCAAATGGTATCCTTAATGGAGTGGTGGAGAAGCCCAGCCAGGAAGCAGGCTTTAAAGCCAAAGCCAGCTCTTCGGGACAGGACAGTTGTGGCTGATAGATGACAGCCAAATGTGAAGGGAGTCCTCATCTGACACACGGAAGAGAGCACCTAGAGGATGGGCAGAGAAAAGAACTGTGGGCAGCACTCATGGCTAGACAGAGCGGCCGCCAGGCCCAGGTCAAACAGGGCAAAGGCTGGCAGAGGTGGAAATACGAATACACTGTTGGATTTGAAACGCCCTTCTAAAACAGCCATCCTTTCACATCCCTTCAGTTCCTCCCACACAGCCATACGGAGAGGGTGATGGCTTTTAGAGAAGAGGAGTGGTACCTCCCCAGAATTAAGGTCAAAAGATCATTTTGTACTCACCTTAGAGCCATCCCTTTGTATATATATGGTGGTTGCCTGGTTTCCTGGTTTCCTGACTGTCCCTTCCCCTGGACTGTGAGCTCCTAAAAGGCAAGCAGTGTGTCTCGTTTTTGAACCGCCCTTACCTGTAGCTCCATCCCTAACCCATAACAGATGCTCAACCAATATTTGTTGACATCAAAGGAAAACTTCCAATAGGAGCTGATGACCTCTGGGGCTGGAAGTCTCACAGGAGGACTGGCTGGATAGGCCAGTTTTGAGGAAAAGAGCCAGATGTCTGAACCCCAGTGTGAGAATATGGGGAAAAGAGGCCAGAAGCATTTTTGAAAACTGCACTTGTGGGCAGTCCGAGCTAGACATGACTTCTGGAGGTCTGGCCATTGTCTCAGTGGAGTGTTGATCGCATGTGTGCTGGAGGCTTCTGTTTAAATAACTACCGGAGTGGGGTGACTCAGCAGCCGGAGGATGGGGCGCTCTCAGGCTGTCTCCTCCTTCAAGTGACAAATCACATTGCCCTGGGTGTCTGTGGCGGTCTCTGATATGACACACGGTAGCTCCTCTCTTGCCAGCTCATCAGCCAGGGTGCCAAGTCACCCATTACTAATCTGGAGACTGACAAATTATTTGACAGGCATGATCTCATGCCCCAAGCCTGGAGACGTCTCTTTAAAATGGACTCTTATCAATGGATTCCGTTTCTGAAATGTAGAGGCTGCTTGTACAGTTTTATTCTATCTCTCCATCAAGGACATCTGATTAATGTCAGAATAAAGTCAAATTTTGATATCCTAGCCACTGAAGTCCTGCAGAAACTGATCTACACCTGCTCTCCTGGCCCCACAGACCTTAACTATGCTTTGTTTCTTGTTTTCCCTTAACACTGGCTGGCTACTTCTTGTTTCTTTGTTTTCATCCCCAGCAGGTAAACGGCAGCAGGTTTAAGGCTAAGCTTTAAGAAAGAGCCCTCAGAGGAAATCCTATCTAGTGGCTATTTCCTGAGAACTGCGGGAAGTTGCCATTATTAAAATTTAATGGCATGTTGGTCATGAACTAACAGTGTTCTCTGGATTTTTTATTTGACAAATGCTGATCACCTTACAAGTAGGAATCCGAAAATAGCTCACATGCAAGAATCAAAAATTGCAGGAGGCCGTGAATGAAAATCTGTGAATTGGACCAGCCGCAAAGTGTTCTGCCTGAAAAGAACGAATTAAGATTTTAAACTTTATTCTTCGCTCTTTTAAGTGCTTACATGTCTGCGGGACCGATACCAACTTTCAGATCCCATTTTTGCAACCCACGGCTCAGATGAAGGAAGTAACCCATACTGTCCATAACGCCACTCTTCGCCTCTGATGCCACCTTCTGCCCGCACTCCAGACAGCTTGTCCAATGAGGATTCTCTCCGCTGCATCAGTAAATAGAGTTCTTGGTGAGCAATGTTCTCACACATTCTCTTTCCTCAGAGCTTGGCTCAGTGGGTCCAGGACAGGTAGTGGTGCTTACTACTGTTCATTCAGTTTGAATTTGAGAGAGGACCACACCACTTGTTTCCATCCTCTCTGTAGATTGGATTCAAGAATAATGGTGAATTGTGGTTTCTGTATTTACCCTCCAGGGTTTTTATTGTTACCCTAATTATTATTCACAATAATAATTTCTGTTGTCAGATGGTGGTAACTCTACAAGTCCCCTTTTGAGTCCAGAGAAATATTGTTCCACTTGAGATAAATGGGTAACAGAAAATTTCCAGAAAAATTTGTGATTCTAATTCACTTCCAAATTTTACTTTTTCCACTTTGAGCTATGCTGTAGTTATGAGTCCTTAGGAAATCCATTTTGGATTGCTTATGATTTTTAACACTATTGAAAAATGAAATAAAAACAACACTTTATTTCATGAGTTTATTATAGATGTTTAAAAATGTGTAGGTAAGGGGCGCCTGGGTGGCTCAGTGGGTTAAGCCGCTGCCTTCGGCTCAGGTCATGATCTCAGGGTCCTGGGATCGAGCCCCGCATCGGGCTCTCTGCTCAGCAGGGAGCCTGCTTCCTCCTCTCTGCCTGCCTCTCTGCCTGCTTGTGATCTCTCTCTGTCAAATAAATAAATAAAATCTTTAAAAAAAAAAAATGTGTAGGTAAGCACACAGAAGAAACTCTGCAACTTCTATAGTCTCCCAATGCAAAAATGACCACAATATTTTCGAGTTTTTCCGTGTCTAAGGAATTCTGCTGAACATGTTACTTTGTTACCTATTTTTTTTAAATTTAATAATAGTGGGGTGCCTGGCTGGCTCAGTGGTTGAGGCCTCTGCTTTTGGCTCAGGTCATGATCCCAGGGTCCTGGGATTGAGCCCTGCATCGGGCTCTCTGCTCAGCGGGGAGCCTGCTTCCCCCTCTCTCTCTGCCTGCCTCTCTGCCTACTTGTGATCTCTGTCTGTCAAATAAATAAATAAATAAAATCTTTAAAAAAAAAATTTTACTGTTGAGTGAACAAGCAGATAATATCGTTTCAGGCTGGGATATATGCTGTGAAGAAGAATAAAGCAGTGTGTGTATGCATTTGTGTGAGAGTAGGGTGGGGTAAATGTATCACTGTTTTAGACAGATGGTCAGGTAAAGCCCGATATAAAGATTTAATATCAAAATAGAAAAAGTTTCTTAAACTGATACCTGATTGTTTTAGAAAACTCTGAATGTGGACAAGTACAAAGAGAAAATAAAAACTTACCTATAGTTGTAGCAATTTGGCTCCTATCTTTTTGGTTTCGGTTTCATCACACACACACACACACACAAGCATGCATGTGCATCTGTATATTACTAAGGTATTGCTGAGTGTACTATACATATTTGCTCAGCATATGAAGACACTAATAGTCAGAAGTTTGTATGGCCAGTGGGTCCAGTGAGAAGATACAGTGCTCAGAAACTCAGGGTTTTATTCCGTGGGTCAGTAGTTATCAAGAGTTTTGCAATTGCAACAACCATTGGCAGTTTGGCTTAAAATATTTCCTTTCCCTCTTTTTCTTAAAAAGGCTTCATGGTATATATACAGGTTTGCTTTTTTTCATTAAAGTGGATAAAAATTCATTCCCTATGGCAGAAGAATCTGCAACAGGCTAGAGATCACTGGAGAAGCCACAGAAGGCCACAGGACAGGCTCTAGCAATCACAGTTTTGAGAGGAAAATACTAAGAGGAAAAAACTTGCTAATGTAATCTTGCAGATTCTTGGAGCATATCCTCCCACCTCTGAAAACACCGCAGCCAATTCTCTGTCAGGCCTCTAAACAGCACCATTCTACTTCACAGTTGTAAAATGAGGAGTCTTTCCTGACACTTTTTTCCTCTTAGAGCCCATATCCACTGCATCAGCCAGTCCTGTCGGCTCTACCTATACATGAAATCCTGACTCCAGCCATGTCTCATTATCTCTGTTGTTGGCTCCGGGGTGCAGTGTACCACCATCTACTTGAATTCTCACAACCAACTCCTTACTGGTCTGGTTTTAAACTCTCCTTCTCCTCCTTTCACTCTACTCCTATAACCCCAGAAGACTCCCGCCCCATAAGACTATGTGAGCTCTTTGATGCCCTCCTTTCCGCCAGTCCTGTCCACCTCGGAGCTCTGAGCCTGAGGAGGGCAAAGAGCGAATCTGGAGGGGCAAATCAAAGGCATCCTTTAAAAATGTAAATCAGACTGTGTCCTACCCACTCCAGACCCCGGAATGTGTGCCTGTCTCCTTCATTAGTGGGAGACATTTTTTCTCCTCTTGGTTTCCGAATGGGAGGAGTAATTCCTAAATAGGATCCAAGCTTTTGTCTGTCTCTAGATACTCTGCTCCTGGGAAGACGGATTGACAAGTGTGGGACAGAAAACCATGTGTGGCGCTTCCCCCACCCCGGGGAGTGACAGCCGGCAGAAAGCAGGCGCTCCCTCCTGCTCTGTCATCATCTCAGTCTTTGCTCAGGCTGTCTTGGCCCTGCTCATGGATGCACTGATCACTGCTGCTTTCTTCCTGCTGCTGGGGTTCACAACGTTAGCAAGTCCACTTGGTGAACCCAAAGCAGCAGCTACTGACTGCCTCACTATGTAATGAAGCTGGTGTGTTGGCTTCCGTCTTTACTTTAGAACATAATTTCTTACTTTATTCATTCATCACGTGTTTTTTGGGAGAATGCTCTACACCTGTTACTGTTTTCCTACTCAGGATTCATGAGAGGGAGGGAGAAGGGGGAAAACAGATAAAAATGTCTTGCTTTATTTCACCCAGTTACTTAAAACCTGCATCAGGAAGATGGGTACAAATTACTGGGAATCTGTTCCAAGGTTCATAGCTTGATTCAGAGTCAAGTTCTGATTAAAACAGATCTCGGCTCTTCCCGATACTGTGACGAAACTAATGTGTGCTCGCTTTTTAGCTGCAGATACGGACTACACTAGATGGAGTTGTTACACAAAGGCAACTTTCTTTGCGGCAAATAAGGAGATCATGGGGAGTAATTTCTAAAGGCACGGTTCCCTGAGCAGGGATAAAGGGGTTCCTTTTATTTGCGGTTTGTGAAAAATATTCAGAGGGAGAGTTTTTTGTCATTGTGTGTAAAAGGCAGGCAGAGGTTTGCGCGTGTGCCCTTAGACAACCTGCCTGTACACGTGCTGTATGTTACATTACTGAAGCTCGCGCCTCTCCCAGGGTAGGGACCCTAACATTCTAATGAGGTTGTGATAACTGTCGGGCACTTCATGGCTCAGCTTTGCAAGCATTGCCCTGGTGGTCACTCTCTAATTTGTCTGGGCCAGGAGGAGTTTGTTTCTTTTCCAGTTCCAGAAATTTATTAGTTAGTTTCTAAGAAGTAAAACTGATAGACTTAAACTCTCTCTGTCTTGCTGGTGATGACATGGTCTTTGCTCTTTCTGTCCTCCTCTCCCATCACACTCTTTTTCTCCATTTCGTTGGCTTTTTTAAAAAAATATTTTATTGGGGCGCCTGGGTGGCTCAGTGGTTTAAGCCTCTGCCTTCGGCTCAGGTCATGATCTAAGGGTCCTGGGATCGAACCCCACGTCTGGCTCTCTGCTCAGCAGGGAACCTGCTTCCCCCTCTCTCTGCCTGCTTCCTCCTCTCTCTGCCTGCTTCTCTGCCTGCTTGTGATCTCTCTCTCTGTGAAATAAATAAATAAAAAATCTTTAAAAAATTTTTATTTATGTATTTATGTGAGAGAGACAAAGAGCAGGGTGGAGGAGGCAGAGGGAGACTGGGAGGGAGACTGGGAGGGAGAAGCAGACCCCCTGCTGAGCAGGGAGCCCAGTGTGGTGCCGCCACAATCTGGGACTTTGGGATCATGACCAGAGCTGAAGGCAGACACTTAACTGACTGAGCCACCCAGGTGCCCCTTCCTTGCTTTCTTTAAATGTGTGATACATGCTCTTGCTTCTCTCCTTTGTACATGCAGTTCCCTGTACCCAGACCACTCCTCCCCTTCATGGTTCCCATGATCTGATCTCTCATTTCTGTCAGGTGTCTATTCAAATGTCACTGTCACCGTGAGGCTTCTTCCATCCTCCTATATAAAATGAACTCCCCCAACTTCTGTTTTCAGTCTTTCTCTATTTCTTTTACCTAGTTTTTCTTCATATCACTTATTACCACTACATGGATGTGTTCCATGTTTTAAAAAGTGACTGACACAGAGGAAGCACTTTGTGATGACAATGATCCTGACATTGAACATGCACGACATAATGCTTACTATCTGCCAGGCACTGTTCTAAGAGCTTTACAACTAGTAACTCAGTTGTTTCATATCATATCACTTCATATCAGCTTCCCAAAGTGGGAACTGTTATCATCTACACTTTACAGATAAAGAGGCTGAGGCACAGAGAAGTTATGTAATCTGCCCAAGGTCACAGAACTTGTAAAAGTATGGGCAGAGGTTTAAACATGGAATTGGTCCCCTGTCAGCGGGGAGCCTGCTTCTCCGTCTGCCTGCTGTTCCCCCAGTTTGTGGTCTCTCTCTGACGAATAAATGACTAAAATCTTAAAAAAAAAAAAATTGTACTTCTGCACAAGAACAGGGACTTTGTTCACATTCTGTCCCCAGGGAATACCATAGTGCCTAGTATGAAAGTACTAGTAAATGAATAAATGATATTAATGTGCTTCTTGAGTTTTGAGTATTAAAAATACTAGTATGAGCGAAGGGCATCAGTCCATGCCTGGCACACAGTTAGAGCTCACAAAGATTTTTTAAAAAAGGAGGCTGCCTTGCAGTTACCTGTCACCTATGATAGTACTCTCTATCTTCTGAGCAGTACTTAGATATTGTAGTGGGTTTTCAATTGCAGATTAGGAGAATAGTTCTCAAGCTTTGCTCTGATCTATTATTGCTGGACTCTGAGTTGGATTCAAAGTGGAATGGAATTTTCTCAGAAAAAAAGGAATTTTCTCAGCTCTCAGAAAAATCTCAAATAAGTGGATAGAATCTGAAATTTTGGATTTTTCTCTCATGAATTTTTCTTAGGACATCAATATTTGCATCTTCTCTGCTAGGACAAAAGTGAGCAAACAAGTAGCAAACAAATACTAACAGGAAAAGATGGAAACAGTCTTAACTGGAAACCAGGAAGCAGCTTTGTTTTATTTATAAGATCCAGGGAGTATGACTTACAACACTAACACTGAATATTCTCGAAAAATACATAAAATAAATAACACAAATAATTATGTATCTATTTGGTTATCTGTATCTAGATGTAGATACATACAGAAGTCTTTTTGTACTAAATTGATTTTTTGGATTGGAATAAATATAGCTGTGTTTTATCATGTGGCATGAAGAGTACCTTGACTTCCAGGATGTTCTGCTTCCCAAACGAGAGAACTTTTGAACTTGGAGAGCAAGAACAAAGAACAAGTAGAAACCTAGCAAACTCAGTGTCAGAGATTTCCCACTGGAACACTCATCACTTAGATGAGGACATCCACAAAGACCTTAGCATCACTGTATTTTCAGTGTAATTTTTGATCTGTCGTTTCTCCTCCACCCACATGGAAGTTGTTCAGGTGTTTATAATACCAAGAAATGCAGTTCTATAATGTTACTCAGACACTATGCAGATAATTCATAGACCATTTAAAAAAATATATATATATATATCTCTATATATATATCTCAAGAAAATAGGACTTTTCTCTCA